ATATAATAAACTTATAAGAATTCATTCCAAAAATGTTGTATAACCCTAAACATGCATTTCATATGGTAGCCAGCAGAGGTTGACTGGTTGCAAGATAAAGTCTGTAAATTTATCTACTTTTTGTTTTGTTTTTTTTTAGCCTTGGTAATTACATTTTTAATTAGCAGACCATTTTTCTTAGCAGAGTCAAAGTTATATTAAAACATTCAAGACAACTAGTTRAGAAAATGCTGTGACTAACAAGCCCAATAGGAATGCATTTTTTCTGATATTTTATTGTAATTATTAATTCGGGTTGCCACACTGTTTTGACAGTGTTTCATTAACTTACCCTCATAGTTGACACAGCCGTTCTCATCCTCCTGTCCGGCCATGAGAGCGTCAATCTCAGCCTCGTTCATTTTCTCACCTGCAGGAGGAGATGGAGGACATCCAGAGTTAGACCCCACAAGAAGCGGCTCCAACGCTAACATTAGATGCAGCTTTACATCTACTAACCCAGTGTTGACAGCACGATACGCAGCTCAGCACCCATCACRGTGCCGTTGCCCTCCTTGTCAAAGACACGCAGACCCTCAACATAGTCCTCGAACCCTGCCTTGTTGGGACTGTTGATGATGGTCTGGAGCATGGGAAGGAAGGCCTCAAACTCTACTCTCTTGTGTACCATGTCTGCATGAAAGGATAAAAATTATGTTTGTCAACATAAAAAAAGGGTAAAAATGAATCATTTTATGCTCATTATTAATTTCTACAACTTCTGCAGGGCCATGAAATGAGATTGAGGTTTTGTAAGATATTGCTTTAAGTTGTCTACAGTTATCAATCTTGTACACACCTTTAGAGTCAAAGCCAGAGTCCTGCATAAATCACATCTAAACTTTTTTCAAGAGTACAACAATGCACATTTTAACATGTTACAGCGTTATAATGTAGCATTTTCCAGAACATCATAAGACAAGAATAAAGGATATGCTGCAGTGCCCTCTTCTGGTACAATGCTTCATGTTCACCATTTCCCCCCCAGTAAGTTGGTTAAAAACCTGCTCTGCAAATCTTTGCACCACAGAAGCTCAATGACTACTTAAAACAGATAGTTCTGTGTTTTTTAAACTCCAAAAATCCAATTTATGAGTAGCCTAACTGAATGTGTCACTTACCGTCAGCTGAGGGGTTCCCAAGCAGTTTGTTCACCTCCTTGTTGGTGGGGTTCTGTCCCAATGCACGCATAATGTCAGCGATTTGGTTGTAAGCCACCTTGTTGTCACCCACCCTGTCGAACAGGCCAAAGGCCTCTCTGTAGTCTGTTGGATAGAGGCAGAAGAGGACACGTTTACTTTATTTATCCAGTGCACTTTCATTGAGTTGTTAACATTTATGTGTCAAACATGTTTGAGAAAAGAAAAAAAATATATATATATATACATACATACATACATGCACACGCACACACACACACACACACACTAAGTGAAGCTTTAGTCTTGTTTTTACATAGTGAAGAATTTTAAGCTACACCACTGTGACAACTTTGTCATCTAAAATTGACCTTTGTTTTGCATTTAATTTCACATCAGTTTTGGAAATAATGAGTGCCAAAATGTTTTTTTTTTCATTTATTTGAAATTGCTGAAAAATCAAGATTGTTTTTCTTTGTTTTTTAAGGGCTTTTTTTTGCTGAGATTCTAAATTTGTCCATATTTTTTGATGAAAAAAATTGCAAATGGACATGAGTGGATTTTTACAAAAATGCATTAGTGACAAAGCACGTTTTCTCTTAACTCTATTTTTTTCTTTTTTTTTCTCTAATAAAACAGCTACATACAGGGGTTAGGCAATGAAACTGAAACACCTGGCTTTAGACCAGAACATCCCTTTCAGACAGCTTCCTCTTGCATCCACAGTTAATCCTGTTGGATGTGGTTGGTCCTTCTTGGTGGTATGCTGACATTACCCTGGATACTGTGGCTCTTGATACATCACAAAGATTTGCTGTCTTGGTCACAGARGCACCAGCAAGACGTGCACCAACAATGTGTCCTCTTTTGAACTCTGGTACGTCATGCATAACATTGTGTGCATTGCAATATTTTGAGCAAAACTGTGATCTTACCCTGCTAATTAAACCTTCATTCTGCTTTTACTGGCGCAATGTGCAAWTAATGAAGATTGACCACCAGGCTGGTCCAATTTAGCCATAAAACCTCCCACACTAAAATGACAGGTGTTTCAGTTTCATTGTCTAACCCCTGTAGCTGTTGCACAGCTTCCAGCAGGTGGAAGCAGTTACTCTACTTACTGTCAGAGAAAACACATAACTGTAAGACATCCAAGAAGGTTGCGGTATTATTGGCTGAATGGACTGAGTCCTACAGAGCCCCGTCACCCTCAGCTGTCTCCTTCTTTCACAGCGGAGCTATGGCTTATTTTAAAAGACCACCTTGGAATTGATAAACATAGCTGAGAATATGAGCCCCTCCTTTTAAAGGCAAGGCCTTCTGTGGGCGAGCCGGGTAAAAGTAGGGACTGCTGACGGTGGTGTAACCAGCAGCCGGTCCAGCCAGTGGGTCTGGTCCCGTGGTGGCCAGTATAGGAACCAGTGGTACACAGGCTGCACTATTGCATAGTTGTGTTGTTTTTTTGCTTGTTTCTCCACAACTATTTAACTTTACTAACCAACAAGCTGCAGCTAATGTGAGGATCCAAGGATGTATTTAACTAATACGTAATACCAGACTATTTTGTCCTTAAATGAGCTTTGATTTGCATCCCTCTGTGTTAAAACGTTAATGCTTCTTACTTAACAGAGTTTGTTCTTTTTATTATGATTGCAAGCGAGATGTTTCCCACTTATTGATACTATTTAATTTTAAAACTGCTGCAAAGGAAACAACTGCAGCTATATTCTCAGCACAGTCATTTTTGTTTCATATAACATTTAAAATATTCATCCAAGTTACTATAATTTAGTTTAAATAAAACCAGAATACTGGTAAAACTGTTTAGCGAGATCTAATTAAGTTGTTTTCATATTTGCTATTTTTACATTACTCATTTATCTAAAAATGTGCTCTTTGGGACATTAATAACCTACTAATAACTAAGTGCTCATAGTAACATTTTCCTCCTTTAGCCACTCTCATATTTCGGAGGAATGATAGCCACCTGTCCGGAGCACTTTAACAGTCGATGAGTGTATGGGAGGTTTTTAGTGGTTTGCTAATTTTAAAGCTTTCTATTTTGCAAAAAAACCTTTTAGGTCATTCAACTTTTGCGATTTAAGTCTGCTAATAGGTCAGGTGATCAGTAGGTGAAAGTTCAGTTTTATGTTTCTATGAACTGTCAGATATCATGTGATGCAGTGTCATGCAAAGATGTGAGGTGAATTACATACCTTCAACCTGGTCTGCGCTGAATTCTATCTACAAGCCAATAGAAAGCAGCTGTGTAAGTGTAAAATGTGCAAATAAATATGACATCAACATCATATACATTTCAACCAGCAGAACTATATTTTTCATGCTCAACAAAACTACCGGTAATTGTCGTTTTTCCAAAAATAGCATCAGGTGGAGGCACCTGACCTGTGTTGTTCCATCTTTAGCTACATTAACATGTCCCCATTTGGAGTCATTATGCAATGCGTTAATGCATTAGTCATTACTCAGTAAACCAATCCGGAAAGACCTGGGAGTGGTTTAGACCAGTGGTTCCCAAAGTTGGGGTCGGGACCCAAAGTGGGGTCCTGAAACATCAAGGTGGGGTCCTGAAAAGATTTTCTAAATTAATTACATTCTGCCTTAATTGCCTAAAATGCAAAAATGTAGAATAATAAATGTTGTTACTATGCCCATGTTTTGTTGACCTGATACAAATG